CAAGAATATTAAACGCATTGAGCATAAAATAGATGTACCGTCTTCCGAGAATAATAAAATAAACAAGTAGATCAAGCGATAAAATAAGCAACATAGAGAACAGCAAGGACGTAAATAGCACAAACTAAAATGAATAAAGTATATCATTAGAGATAATTGCAAGGCGATAAATGATAGCTTTCATTGCTAAAACAACTTATTGTGTTAGAAGCAATAATAAAAGTTAAGGGTCTATGTTGATTGAAAGTCGACAGGATTTACTTTCATCGAAAAAGAATTCTTTTTATGTTAGACTTAATAATACTAAACGGCCATCTGAAAGCCGTGCAGATAAAGACTATCAAAACTCTTACTCTCATCCAGAACGCAAGTCATTTTTAAGTGTAGCCAGAAGATCATAGATGAAAAGCCATATAATTAGGAGATAATAGCTATATGCACATTATATTAATTTGAAGAAACCCAAAAGTCTTAATTTCCTGTCTAACTATTCTCTTCAGTAAATGCCATTCACAAATTGGCGTTATACGGATCGGTTCAGCAAAATAGCATCAGCTGAGCCCCTCCCCTATCCGAGTAATTGCTTTTGCTGTGATTTCAATTTTCAACGTCTGGTGATCCAGGGGCTTGCCACTTGTCCCTATGTCGGCCACATGGTGCACGATGCCCCTGTGATAATGTCTGTTTGCCCCTGCCGCTTTCGTCCAGCTCACCCTCAGTACAGGTATGTCTATCAAAGGCGGACATGGAGATCCTGGTATCATAGCAGTATATTACAACAGTAACTACATAGTCACCTCAGGAGCAATTAGACAAGCCTGGGAACCTCTGATCATGATAACCCTCGATATAAGAACTTGTGCTAATCTCTCTTAACAACTCCCTGTAGGAAGTCGACCAGGTTTGCCGGCTTGGATTTAGCTACCATGCTCCTGAGGATACGGGAGCACATCAATAAAAATTTATGTTTTTATCTGACCTGATGAGAAACTGGAGCTCAGATAGTATTTCCAGTAACGTAGCTCCTTAAAACTAAAACACTAATGACGTGAAAATTTTGTTTCGAAAGCCTTTGGAGAACTGCTGAGAGAATGTACCTTTTAGGTGATTAGTATCAAGCAAAGTGTACACATAGTTGCCTCGGTCCACTCACTTGTAGGCATGTCCAAATCATGTCAAGAGCGGCGTGGATCAGAGCCACATCAATCGACGGGATCTGTGTCGAGTGAGCGGTTAAGGTAGTGGGCTCGGAGGAGGATAGAGTGTCGGAAGGCGAAGTGATTCGGATTGATTGGATTGCGACTTCGGGATCTGGAGCAAGGGGAGGACTAGTCGAAGAAACCTCGGTTGGCGAGAGAGAAGACGAGATGTAGGAGAGAGGGGAGATTGGCACGAGATAAGCTGAGTTGGAGGACGAGTAAAGGCCAAGAAGCATCTGCAGTAGATGGGACTCTATGAAGTACGGATCGATCTGTGCCATCAAAAGAACAAAGAAATGAGGCAAAATTGGAATTGACACAATACCAAGTTTATCTGAGTAAAAAACATTCTATTAAATAGAATTTGGTCTTCTGGAAGCATACTAAACTGCAATCCATATTAGTTTGGGCCCTCTCTAGATGCATCTAGACTAGGGCAAATCCGAACTTTTCCATTCCAATTTCACTTAATATCAGCGGCTTTACTGGATGCTTTAATAACTCATTCGTTTGATTGTGTTATGAAGCAAATTATGCTAAAGAAAGCAAACCAACTAGGCTGTATTTATCATTTATGTCCATGTTAATTTGGGATAATATTGTTAATAACCCTAATTAAGCTAATTAAGAAAATGCACACAGGTGATGTTCTTAATTTGAGCCCGATTTGAGCTGGTGACGGCTACATTGAGCAATGAATCAACAACTTTGCATATTTCGCCAAAATCAGTCTTAAAATCAGGCATTATGAATCAAGTGAGGGATACATTTAGAGTAGCGTCCTTTAGAAGCTGGTGTTTCGCCGGCGCAAGCGATATATTTTACGCGCTTCATAAATTTCCAAATATTAGTGAATCAAGAAGGCCCATAAGAATGCCTCAAAATATTTCAACCTTCGTAGAAAGACAAAAACCACGAGAGGCACTTATAATATTCTAAATGACAAAAAATCCTCTCCACATATCGGCAA